GCAGCCATGGAGATGATGATGGCCTTTACGTTCAGGGGATGCTTAACAGTGAGCTGGGTTTGCAAACCAAGATACTAGCTGCCTGACTCCCTGCTGTTCCCAGCTTGCAACTGGATGGCATGGAGCAGGATTCCCCCGGCCAGAGAAGCAGTGGGCAGAACTGTTAAATAATGTTGAATGCAAGTCTGAAATGGGTATGGAGTGGCAATCAGGCAGGCCAGGGAAAAGGAGGCAGGAAGATCAAGACAGGAGGGGACAGAGTACCTCTGGCCTGTCCAAACCCTTCCTCATGATCCCAGGTGGTGCCTGGGCATCTGGCTGGAGCAAAGGGACATCAAGTGTTCTGCAGAAATTGACTTTCATTAAGGTTTACATTTCTCCACACATCACTGACAGCCGCAAACAAATCCAGGTGCAATGAGTCCCTGGTGCCTTCTTTTATAATGTGTCCTTAAATTATATACACAAAGTGCACTTTTTAAATTTTATCTTTAAAATAAAAGCTATGTATGTATTCGATAAAGAAGAGTCTGATGGCATAGAAAGACATAAAATCAAAAAGTGGAAGTTTCTCTCCCTCCCTTCTTGGCTATGTCTCCCAAAAGGGAGATAACATAACTTTATCTCGGAAAATCTCTTATATGCCAGGCGCCCAAGATTCACGCCTGTAATCCTAGCTATTCAGGAGGCTGAGATCTAAAGATCCATGTTCAAAGCCAGCCTGAGCAGGAAAGTTCATGAGACTCTTATCTACACCACCAAAAGAGCCAGAAGTGGAGCTGTGGCTCAAGTGGTAGAGTGCTAGCCTTGAACAACAACAACAAAAAGCTCAAGGACAACACCCAGGCCCTGAGTCCAAGCTAGGACCAACACACACACACACACATGCACACACACATGCACACACACACACACACATGCACACACACCCCAAAAAAGAAAGAAACCTCTTATACACTTACCAGTGTGTTTAAGTGATCATATGTGGGTGCGTTTGTATGTATATATGTTCACCTGTTTATATTTGCATATAGGTGTATATTTATGATGTGCATGTTTGTGTTTGTAATTGCAGGTATATATTTGCATGTGTGTATTTGCACATATGTGTATCTATACATATATAAATTATATACAATTTCCATTTATCTATATGGGGCCAAATCATATTATCACACTATTCTTTGATAGTGATGGCATAGGGATTAAAAGGCTTAAATTATTTTTCTAAGATCAGTTTGCATGATCCAAAGCATTTAGCTAACGGTTTGGTGGCCAGTGTCACTAAATAACAACACCTAAGGATAAGCTGTTCTTCCCATTTCTGTCAGTTCTGATCTTGTTTAGCCTCCTGTGACCTCATACATTTATTCACACAACTCTTCCCTGCTCCCTGGCTTCAGCTGCCTTTCTGTGCTCTGTGTATCTTGGAGATGTTTTCTATTTCCTCCCATCCAGGTATTTTTCATTCATTCGGGGACCACAGCATCATTTATTGATCCAATTCTATTCTGATGGACGTTTAGGTTGCTTCCAATTTTCCTTTGTTTATCTCTGCCATCTCAAGCAATGCTACAGTGAACATTCTTTTGCATATTTTTGTCACATTGTTGCAAATGAATCTAAAAGGCTTGTTGCCCAGGAGTGCAGCCCAGGGGTCAAACAGCTGATAGACTTTGCCCCAAAGGTTGGACCTGGTTGCTGTGTCACCCAGAGACCTGAGGGCATGACCCCTCCCTCTTACCAACAGTGGGGTGACCGTATCTGAAAACCCTTCACCGTTTGACATAGGAATAGTGTTTTGTTCTGAATTTCTTTCATCATGAAAGAGGCAATGCATCTTTTTTATGAATTTATCAACCATTTCTATTTCTTTTCCTCCCCCTAGTACTTTATTTATTTTTTTTTTTTGTCGGTCATAGGGCCTGAACTCTGGGCCTGGGTGCTGTCCCTCGGCTCTTCAGCTCAAGGCTAGCGCTCTACCACTTGAGCCACAGCACCACTTCCGGCTTTTTTCTTTTTGCTTATGTGGTGCTGAGGAATTGAACCCAGGGCCTCAGGCATGCAAGGCAAGCACTTTACCACTGAGCCACCTTCCCAGCAACCTCTAGTGCTTTTTTTTTTGTCAGTCGTGGGGCTTGAACTCTGGGCTTGGGCGCTGTCCCTGCGCTCTTCAGCTCAAGGCCAGCGCTCTACCGCATGAGCCACAGCACCACTTCCAGTTTTCTAGTGGTTTATTGGAGATAAGAGTCTCACAGACTTGATAAGAGTCTCACAGACTTTTCTGCCTAGGCTGGCTTTGAACCATGATCCTCAAATCTCAGTCTCCTGAGTAGCTAGGATTACAGGTGTGAGCCACCTGTGCCCGGCTTCCCCCAGTGCTTTTTAACAATGCTGGATTATATTTGTAAAGGTACAGAACCCTGCAGCCCACCTCTCCCTCTCTTTCTAGCGCCCTTCTAAGGTCACTTGGTCATTGTAGCAACCCCAGCTGTTTCCCCAAAGTCATTTCACTGCGCTGGGGTGAGATGGACCAGCAGGAAGGACCACATACCCGGCCCAGGGTTTGAGGGGTGAAGGAAAAAGACAGATTTTCCAGAGCTTGAGCACCTGCTTTTTCCTCTCGTCATACTGCACAGTAGCCAGGAACAGATAAACACTGCTACTACTGGCAGAGATAAGAAGGTTCTAGACAATGCTGCAGAGTCAGAACAAACTACCCATGTGTCTAGCTTCGAGTAAGGCATGCACACTATCCAAATGAGAGGTGGGACCCTGGGTGGTGCGCACAGCAGATTTGGAATCAGAAAAGCTAAGAAGGAGCCAGGCACTAGTGACTCCAGCCTGGAATCCTAGCTCCTCAGAAGGCTGAGATTTGAGGATCGAAGTTGCCAGCCCAAGCAGGCAAGTGCATGAGACTCTCAGCTCCAGTTAGCCAGCAAAAGCCCAGAAGGGGAGCTGTGGTTCAAGTGGTAGAGCACCAGCCTTGAGGAAAAAAAAAAAAAAGCTCAACGGCAGTATGCCCAGAAACTGAGTTCAACCCCCAGGACTGGCAAAAAGAAGGGAGGGAGGGAGGAAGGGGGGAGGATAAGGGGCTCACTAGCCCTGCCTGTTACTACATGTGAGTCTAAGATTAATGCCAAGGAATGACTGAATCTCAACACCCTTGCCTCTAAAATGGGGATTCTAATAAAAGCCCCTCCACCATGGCATGATTGTGGAGATGGAGATTAAGTCAGCAGCTCCCAGATGCCCGACCATGGTAGCTTGTCACTATACAGATAAAATGAGAAATGTGGTGGTAGTGTAGTGGGCTTTGCATAAAATGAAATTTAAATTTTTGTTAAAACTGTCTTTATGCTGAGATTATGTCTTTTTTATCATCTCAGAAATATTCTTTTTTTTAAGGTAAAATGCTGACTGTTTCTATTTATTTTTCTCTCCGTGGCACTTTTTTAATAGTATTCCTTTTTTTAAAAAAAATGCTCGTTGCTTGATAGTGTTGCTCTTTGGTTGTTTGGTTTTAATGACCTTGGCAGAGTAAAAAGTTGTGAGGCTTATGTTGATCCCCGTTTTTTTTAAGTGTTACTTGTCCCTGGCATCCAATAATCTGAGAACTGCTGTGTGAAACGAAGAAAGACATGAAAGGTACTTAACGTGGCGTCGGATGCACAGATGATGCCCAGAGAGGTCTGGCTGTTGTGTTGTCGCTGGGAAGGTGACAATGGTGATGAAGGTCAGGGTGATAGTGATCCTGACGGTGGTCTTGGGGCGTTGATGATGGTGGTGGTGGACATGATGGCGGTGGTAGTGATGATGATAGTGATGGTGGTGATAATGATGGTAGTGATGGTGGTGGTAATGACTAGGGTGGTGGTGGTGATGGTAGTGATGGTGGTGGTAATGACTAGGGTGGTGGTGGTGATGGTAGTGATGGTGGTGGTAATGACTAGGGTGGTGGTGGTGATGGTAGTGATGGTGGTGGTAATGACTAGGGTGGTGGTGGTAGTGGTGATGATGATGATGATAATGATACGCCCTAGCCTGAAGTTTGTATGAAATAGATCTGACAACTCCTGGGGATGGGCTCCTCCCTCCCAAGCTTGGCATACGAGAGGCTGGTGGTAATGAGCTTGTCCATGAAGGCAGCTGGGCAAAGTCTAGGATACTCAAGGTCTGGGGAGGGGTAGTACAAACCTCTTTGTTGTTCTAAAGACTTTGCTAGACTTTCCTAGAAATGGAAACAAGTGATCTCCCAGGGCCTACAGGGGAACTAGTCCCTGGCCCCAGGCCCTCCCACAGTACAAAGCCCGATCACCTGGGCCTGGCTGTCAGGAGCTCCTCTCTCTGATCTAACCCTCCCTGACTCTCAGCCAGGTAGAGGACACCTATATCTGCTCTGCAGTCACCTGCCCCATGCCACACTCTGCTCTTTAGGGGAATCTCTAAGGAGGGGCCAGCTCCAAGTCAGGCCAAGAGCCCAAGCCACAGAATGCTGCTGCGCAGCTCGGGGACCCACCAGCCTCCCTCCACTGAGCCGCAGCGAAGCTGTCTGTCAAGCTAAGGAAGGACCGACACAGGTCATCTGGGGAGACATATAAATTTCCCTGCCTCTGTCACCTCCATCCATCCCAATGAATACTTCCCCCACAGTCCTGGGCTTGGCTCCCCACATGTCTCGGTCCTTTGGGTCACACACAGGGGAGGACCACAGAACCCACACAGCCTCGGAGGCCTGGCCACAGGGACCCCAGCCCAGCACTTCCTGTCCTTGGGAAGTGCAAGCTACTTCCTGTATGGCTGAGCAAAGGCTCAGGGTTGTGGGAGGGGATCTCCCTGTCCCCCTACCCTTCCGTGCATAAAGACCTTTCTGGGATCCCATGAGTCAAGGGACTCCCTTGCCTTATCCATTCCAGAAGACGATGACCCTGTGACCTCTGACCCCTGAGCCCCACCTGACCTGCAACTGCTTGTTTTAACTGTCTTCTCTGTCCCCCCAGGTACATGATCACCAGCCTGGATCGCACTCACGCCGGCTACTACCGCTGTATTGTAAGGAACAGAATGGGGGCACTGCTGCAGCGGCAAACCGAAGTCCAGGTGGCCTGTGAGTCCAGTGGGGGTGGGGGGCAGGGCAGGCGGGGGTGTACAGAGTCCACACCCACCAGCCACACCCGGCATGTTCTTCCACACCCTCTGTGGACCAGTGGTGGCCCACCCTTCCCACCTGTCCAGCACTTGATAAAAGAACCAAGGCCCAGAGAGGAAGTAGGTCAAGGCCACTTCACTGACCAATGGTGACCACATCTGCTGGCATGGTGACATTTTACTAAGCCCAAGACTTAAGAGCTCTCCAGGGCTGGGAAGGTGGCTCAGTGGTAGAGCGCTTGCCTTAGCATGCCTGAGGCCCTGGGTTTGATTCCTCAGCACCACATAAGAAAAAAGCCGGAAGTGGTGCTGTGGCTCAAGTGGTAGAGCACTAGCCTTGAGCTGAAGAGCTGAGGGACAGTGCCCAGGCCCAGAGTTCAGGCCCCATGACCGGACCAAAAAAAAAAAAAGAGCTCTCCAGAAGAGCATGACCCACTGTTTCCTCTTCAGATGGGAGCAGCCAGTCCATCTCTTCACAGGGTCTTCACCCCAGTCTTTGGGGGTCTCAGCCCTCTTCCAGGCAGGTTTACCATTCTCCACCCAAGGAGACCCTGGAACAAAAAGAGCATGGGGGTCCCCTGGGGTCCTCAGGGGAGGCTGGGAGACACCTTAGTGAGGGAAGCAGAATAGCAAGTCAGGGATCCTCCCAGAGGGGGAGAGGGTAAGAGGAGTAGGCCCCCACCAAGCCTTTGGGGGTGACAGTCTTCTCTTCAGTGCCACCAGTGCCCAGCAAGGTTTCCCCAGGGAAGGAAAGGAAGATGGCTTCAGAGAAAAACCTAAAAGGTAGCCAGGTGCTGGTGGCTCACACCTGTAATCTTAGCTACTCAGGAGTCTGAGTTCTGAGGACCGTGGTTCGAAGCCAGCTAGGGCAAGAAAGTCTGTGAGACTCTTAGCACAAAGACCGAAGTGGAGCTGTGTCTCAAGCCATAGAGCAGCCAGCCTTGTGAGAAAAAGCTAAGAGAGGGTATGAGGCTTTGAGTTCAAGCCTTAGTACTAGAACAAAAAGGGGAAGGGTGGGGAGGAGGGGGACCTCCCCAAACGACTCCTAGATCCACCTCTTCCTAGAACACCTGCAGACTGCTGGAAGGGACTCATTATGGGTTATTTTGTGCTGGATCTCTTAGGGGGAGAAACTGGAAGATGTATTCTGAATGGTGGGAGGGTGAGACTCCTCAGAGAGCCCTAAAATCTTCCCAGGAGGGCCTCCCTCTCATCTGGAGCCCCCGGGAGCAGCCTCTGAGCTGACACAGGGGAGGGCCTGCCATGCAGAGAGGAGGCGAAGAGAGAAATCTGAAAGAAAATCTCAAGTGAGGCAGAGTGTTGATGATGATTATGAAAAACAGCCGTAATCAAAAGTGGGGGACAAATTGGCCCATAAATCAAAGGCAGCTCTGCTTATGCCCAAAGAGCAGAAAAGCCCCAAATCACAGCACTGGGTTCTGGCAGCTGTCCGTGCCAAAGGACGCTTATGCTTCCATTAACCCACCCCAGACCAAGGGGATGAGGGGGCACTGGTGGCTCACACCTGTAATTCTAGCTACTCCACAGGCTGAGATCTAAGGACCACAGTTCATAGCCAGCCTGAGCAGGAGTCCGTGAAACTCTGACCTCCTATTACTGAGCAAAAAGCTGGATACCAATGGCTCATGCCTGTAATCCTAGCTACTCCGGAAGCTGAGATCCGAGGATCGTGGTTCAAAGCCAGGCAGGTAGGAACATCCATGAGACTTTTATCTCCAATTAACCACCAGAAAACCAGAAGTGGTGCTGTGGCTCAAGTGGTAGAGTACTTGCCTTGAGCTGAAGAGCTGAAGGACAGCGCCCAGGCCCAGAGTTCAAGACCTATGACTGACAAAAAAAAAGCTGGAAGTAGAGTTGTGACTCAAGTGATAGAGCGCCAACCTTGAGCAAAAAAAGCTCAGGAACAGGGCTTAGGCCCTGAGTTTAAGCCCTAGGATGGACACGCGCACGCGCGCGCACACACACACACATGCCCAGGGAGGTAGGGAACTGCTGTGGCTGGCCTCCAGAGGAGCTGGGCATACAAATGTATGCACACTTGTGTGCATGAGAGTGTGAAAATATGTTTGTGTGGTTGGTCTGCCCCTTGGTTCCTTGGTGGGGCAGCATGTCTGTGCTCTGTGAGCATACATGCATGTGCTCGAGTGTGTGTCGATACAGTCTGCCTCCATTTGCTGTATACTTATGGGAAAATAGGTTCTAAGTATGTGTACACGTGCACACAAGGGTGAGGTGTGTGTGTATGCAAGCATGTGTACACAGACGTGCCTATATGCATGCCGGAGGCATGAGTGTGAATGTGTGCATATGTGTGTAAATGTATGCATGTAAATGTGTGTGTGCACACACCTCGATATGGGGTAAATGTGTGTGGATCCGTGTGTTCTTGATGCCCATGTGTACAGGAGAGAGTGAGGTGTGTGTGTATGTGTGTGTGTGTGTGTGTGCATGTGTGTGTGTGTGTGCCTGTGGAACCAGAAATACCCTTCAGGACGCCCATCAGTCCACACTCTGAGGGGTGATAGGTGCAGGGTCTGCTCCATGCCCTTGACCCACAGGTAACAACAAGAACTTTCTAGAGTTGATCACCCCTGAGCTGAGATGTATGGTCAGCATCCCTGTGGCTTTTTTTGTGACTGGTCCCTCAGCAGATACTTCCTCTTTCCACCTGCTTCTTCCTGATAGGGAGTGGCCGTGAACCCAGCCTCCAGCCCTGCTTCAAATGACAGCTCATAAGATGTGAGCTGTGTGGTCCTGGGCAGATTACCTAACTACTCAGTGCTTTCACCACCTCATATGTTTAAAAGGAGCACTGCTGTGGTTTCTGGGTAGCTAAGGATCGTAAGGACGAATGAATCAATGCATCGGTGTGTGTGAGCTATTCCAAATGGTCCTCAGCCCAGCTGATGCTTGAGGGGGGGGTGGGGAATAGAATTCCTTCTCCTCAGCCAGGAAAGACATTCTGGAGGACATGGAGCTTTCTCATACCGTCCACCTTGGGGTGAGCTTGTTCCCAGCCACCCCTCTGCAAGGCAGGGGCGGGGCCAGAGGAGCAGGCCGACCCTGCGGTGTGCAATAAGACGATGTACGCGTGCTCCATCAGGCCTCACAACCCTGAGGGTGGATGCCTCCTTAAACCTTCCTCCCCCTGGGTCCTTACCTCTCCCTTCACCACCAAGAGCCCCGGGGCTCTGGCAGCTTCTGCATCTGTCTGTCTGTCCATCTGTCTTCCAGCGCAGGTATAAGCCTCTGGCTCCTTGCTCTTGCCTCTGCCTTTCCAGATGGGAAGGGTTTTGTCCTGGGTTCTCACAAGTTGGCTGACCTGTTTGCCTCTCTAGGGGTCCTGGAGCCGGGCAACTCCCCCTTGACCCCCCACCGCCCTGGCTCCCAACCCTGCCCAAAGAGGAACTATGAATCAGGTCCCAATGACAAATTAATAAGGCAGCTGTGCTAACAACTAATGATCATGGCAAAGTCGTTAGAAAAAGATTCTTTACATGTTTTTAATTACAGCAATTAAGGGGAAGTCAATAAAACTTCTCCCCTCCCTGGTCCCCTTCCTGTCCCCTCCACAAGCCTCTTCTTTGAAAGTCACCGTCTGTCTCCCAGCCTTCAAAGAGAGCCGGGAGAGTTAGATCCCAAGTCTGCGCGCCTGGGCCCCTCCCCCAGCCCTCTCTTACCTGGCTCAGGCTTGCAATTGTCCAGCCCAGTGCCAGACCCAGCCACGTGCCTTAAGCCCAGGGCCTGGCCTGGAGAGCCCAGCTGCTTCTACCAGCCGCTTAGCAGCTACTCCAAAATGGGGCTGCAGGGGAACCATTTCCTTGAGTGCTTAGGTAAATTACTGTGATTAACAATTAGAGCTCCCCACCGCAAGCCTAGTACTGCTCTAAGGAGTGAGATCACAAACAAAACCCAGGACAGCGGTGCCTGGGGAGACAGTAGCTGACCATGATTACAGAAACATATACTATATAACATATGACATGAGGCCCATGAAGGAATATATGGAGACAGATGAGAATGAGAGGAGGAGAACAAGACAGAGGACCTCACTGATACAGTGGTAGCACTAGCCATTAACAAAGTGTCTCAAAGGAAGGGGCGTGAGCCTGCCAAACAGGGAGGCAGGAGGGGGTAGGGGGTGGGGAAGGTGGGGGAGGGAGATAGATCATTTCAGGTCAAGGGATAAAGTAAATACAAAGGCCCTGTGGTGAGCTTAGGGATCTGAGGCCAGTATGGCTAGATCCGAGAGCAAAAGAGAATAGGGAAGGTTGAGCTGTGGAGGTGACTCACGCCTATAACCCTATTTACTCAGGAGGCTGAGATCTGAGGATCTCGGTTCAAAGCTAGCCCTGGCAAGAAAGTCTGTGAGGCTCTTATCTCCAATTAACCACCAGAAAACCAGAAGTGGCACTGTGGCTCAAAGTGGTAGAGCTGAATTGCTGAGGGACAGCACCCAGGCCCAGCATTCAAGCCCCACGACCAACAATAGCAACAAAAAATTTCCATGTGCATAGCCTACGCTACAATTCAAAATCCCTCAAGGTCCCATAGCCACAAGAGTTTGTCCTCAGTGGCACTCACGTGGAATTCTATGCTGGTGTGAAAATGAGCTGCCTGAGTAGCCAGAAAGCACATCTCACTAGAGACTGCACATCTGGGTTTGAGCATGGTTGATGTAACCGCCAGCTCTTTAGGGGTGCATCTATATGTGGGGAGGGAGAAAGCAAAGCAGTGAGGCTCATCCCAGCAATCAGGAGAGAAAGGAGCCTGGAGAAGGGGGTGGAGGGAGGGGGACGTGTTTCAGTGTTCTGGTTCATGAGTTGGGTGATGGGTAAGAAGTGTGCATTTTCTTCTCCTTCTTTAAATTATACATGTAACTGTATTCACTTTCTGCATGCATGATATAGTTCATGATTTTAAAATGATTGAAAAGTACACAAATGCACCGATGAGGGTTCTGAAGTAGAAAACACTCTTTACAGGACCTTTTAAGCTATAATAAAGACATCAAGAAGAAGTTGCCAGGCTGGGCACCAGTGACTCACGTCTCTAATCCTAGCTACTCAGGAGGCTGAGATCTGAGGATCATGGTTCAAAGCCAGCCGGGGCTTTGAGACTCTTTTATTTGTTTGTTTGTTTAATTTGCTGGTCATGGGGCCTGAAATCTGGACCTGGGCACTGTCCCTCAGCTCTTCAGCTCAAGGCTAGCGCTCTACCATTTGAGCCACAGTGCCACATCCAGCTTTTTCTGCTCATGTGGTGCTGAGGAATTGAACCCAGGGCCTAATGCATGCGAGGCAAGCACTCTACCACTGAGCCACCTTCCCAGCTTCCCCAAGAGACTCATATCCAATTAACCACTCAAAAAAAAAGACCAGAAGTGGAGCTGTGGCTCAAAGTAGTAGAGCTGAGCAAAAAGAGCTTAGGGACAACTCCCAGGCCCTGAGTTCAAGAGAATAAATTACCAGGAAGAAGAGGCATGGTTCAATGGCTCAAGCAATGGAGTACCTCCCTAGCAAGCTCAAAGCTCTGTGTTCAATTGTGTTCAATTCCCAGCACTGCCTCCAAAGAGCAATGTACTGTAGGCCACACAGAGCTGTGTCCCAGGCAGAATGTGTTGGTGAAGATTGCAGCACCTAGTTGGACATACTATGGCATGAGGACCCTGGGCCCCAGCCTCTGTCCCCTTCCTCCCTCTGTCCCCTCTCCTGTCTCCCTCCTCCCCCACCCCCAGCTGGCAAGGCTGACTCAATCTTAGCAGCCTCTGACTGCTGAGGTTCGACCCACCCATGGGATGCGTGCACAGACAGACATTTCCTGCTGGGAGAGGCTGACTCAAGGGTAACGGTGGGAAAGAATGGGCAGGCACTGGGACCTGGGAGCCAATAAGATGGAGAGATTGTGTGATGGAGAAGTACAGGGGCGCATCCTCATACAGCCAGGACCAAAGCCACTAAGTGCCTCTCCCTCCCCAATCCCACTGTACATACAGATACAAAGCCAGACATAGGCCAGCCACACCTCCATACGTGCAAATGAGCACACCTACAGTCCTCCATCCTGCCACACGTATGTGCAGCCATCCTCTCATTCACACATAGAAACATGCATATAACCTCCTACCCACCTACACAGACACACGTGCATACAACCATCCCTCCCCCTGTACCAGATGAACATGCATACATCTGTAATTCAAGCCCCATAGAAACAGACATCTAGCTACCCATCATCACTTTCTCCATCCCTCTATCCCTCCACTTACCCAACTACCTATGCAGCCAGTCACCTCCTCCCCATCCATTCAGTCATCATCCATTCACCCCCAGGACCCTCCACATCTCCAGCCAGCATCCACCCAGGAAGTGAACAAGTCCACAGTCTTGCCCCACTGGCCTTTATTTTCCCTGATTGCCTCTGTCTCCTTCCTCCTGGCCATTTCCTCAGGACTATACCCTACCACACACACACACACACCTAGATAAACCTCACCCAGTTCCCAGCCTGCAGTGGGTTCTTCCACTGGTCCTGTCCTGGAAGAATCCAGCCCCTTTCTTCTCAGCAGTTGGCACAGATGCCTCTGAATATTTGTTTGTGGGTTCATTTGTCTCATGCCTGCTTCCCTAGCCAGACTGTAAGCTCCCCATGCGTACCTGTCTTGGGCACTTACCCCACTGGTCCACATAGGGCTCCATAAAGAGCTGTTGAATTGAGTGAGACCCTACTGTATGCAAAGCAAGGGTCCAGATGCGGGGGATGAGAGGGGTAGGCAGGGGGATTTGCTCAGGGACAAAGCAAGGAGAACAAAGCTACTTCTGCAAGCTTAGCACCCAGAAGAAGAGTTAACAAAGGGGCGTGGCTATTGGTCATGAACACAAGCAGAGAGAGTTTGGAGGGAGATGCATTGGGTCCAGCCCTGACTGACTCAAAAGGGACCAGACACTTTATCTCCATGAGTCTCCATCTCCTCGCCGACCAAATGGAGCTAATAAAATGAGAGAAAGAGAGGCGAAAGAAACACCATTACCATGAAATTGCTTTAAATTGTTTAAATATATCTTCAGAATTCTGCGGCTTTGTTTTTTCAAAATAGATAAAAATTACTGTAACAAGTGAAACCACTGTGATTTATTTGTGCAATTCTTTATAGACAGAACCATGCACAAGAAATTAATAAACAACTAAGAATGCGTATTTATTAAAATTGAGCTTGTCATATTATTGGAGGATTAAATGTGCGAAGTCTGTCTAGAGAGAAGGTAAGAGCTCGACAAGTCTGGTTTGGAATTCTGTTTGGATAGTTTGAAGTCTTTGTTGAAGGGGTAATGCTTAAACTAAACGATGAAAAATGTATAGAATCCCAGTATTTTAATACTGAAAACATTAGATATATTTCTTTAGCACTTGCCTATGTATTCTCCCAGCTTCTATGGCTGTGTAATAAATTACCCACAGATGCAAATGGGTACCGCAATAATTTATTATGCTTCCAAAGTATGTGACTCTAGAATGTGGACAGGACACTGTGGGAACAGCCGGGGTCTGTTCCACAGTGACTGAGATCTCAGTGGAAGACATGAAAGCTGTACCCCAAACCACCTGGAGAGCCACACCTGGAACAGGTGCTGGTGGGGACTCTGATAGGCACCTGGAGATCTCTCCATGTGGACCATGCCCGTGTTGGCTTGACATGGGTTGAGCTTCCTTACAACATGGCAGCTGGATTCCAGGAGAGTGAGAGCCAGTGGAAGCTTGATGACCCAACTTTGAAAGTCACACAGCATTGCTTTCAGCATATTATATTATTAGATATAGGGCCCCCAGGTTCAAGGAGGGAATATAAGTGGGAAAAAAAAAAGCTGCCTTATAAGGAGAGTGTGGGGGAAGGAGGATAAATATTGATGCAGCCCAGATATTGCTTGGCAACCAACATAATATCTCCTATAATCCTTATAATCTTATAATCCTCAGTACCTCCACGATGAAGGCCCTTTTTTCCATTTCTAATTGTGGAACAAAGGAAATGAAGGCTCAACATGGTCCAAAGTTTTGCCAAGTGTCACAGCAAATGAGCAACAGAGCTGGGATGTGAACTCAGGTCTCCAAACATCCAACGCTACCACTAACCTTCTATCTTCCAGATTTAGAACAAAGATGCTAAACAGTCGATGCTTAGCTTTTGTCTTGTTTTAGCGGCACTGCGGTTTGAACTTAGGGCATCACACTTTCTAGGCAAAGCACTCTATGACCGAGCAATGACTCTAGCTCTTTTGTCCCCCCACTGGTTATTTTTGACATAGGGCCTCACTTCCCGGCTGTAGTCTGCCTGTTTTAGACTTCTCGCTGTAGCTAGAATTACAGGCATGTGTCACTGTGCCTTGCTCTAGGTTAAGAAGGGGAGAGGGTGTGTCTCTTGAACTTTTCTTCCCAGGCTAGCCTAGAGCCTCAATCCACCAAATCTCAGCCTTCCAAATAGCTAGGATTACAGACATGAGCCCCCAGCACCCGGGCAGATGGTGGATTGGTACAGTTGGACCCCAAGACCTACCTGCTTTGGCATCCAAAGCAGAGCCGTAAGGCAGGGAAGGAAGGAGGGCAGCTTAATTCCGGAGTTCAAGATTTGAGTTCAAATCCTGGCTCTGTTCCTTCCTAGACAAGTTAATTAACCTGTCTGAGCCTGTTTGAGCAGGTTTTCTTCCCCCCCCCTCTGTTGTGAAATATGTGAAATAATGATCAGCCTCTCTTGGCTGTTGGATGAATCGATTGAGTCCAAGGATATGTGGCTATAAATGGATCTAAAACACCAACACCAATGCAGAGCGAGTCTCCATGATAGATTAGAGAATAGGGGTGGGCTAAATGCAAGATGCTCCAAGCACAGTGGCCTCTTCTGTGGGGTCATCCCACCTGCCACCTTAGCCTTCTGCCACTACCCTGAAGTCCCTGAGTCTGGCCTTCGCCTCTGACCCCTGACCCCTGTGCCTCTTCTCCCTGCAGACATGGGGAGCTTCGAGGAGGGCGAGAAGCACCAGAGTGTCTCACACGGAGAGGCGGCTGTCATCCGCGCCCCACGCATCGCCAGCTTCCCCAGGCCACAGGTGACCTGGTTCCGAGATGGCCGGAAGATCCCACCCAGCAGCCGCATGTGAGTCCCACTTTGAGGCGTGGGGGGGGGGGACCTGGGGGGATTGGAGAGAGGCTAATCCTGGGGAAGAGGCTACGGAGGGCAAGAAATAGGCCAGAGAAAGGCCCTCAAATGCAACCCAGAGTCCTTCATGCAGAGCGCTCAGCATTTCCTGGACACAGCCATCAGGGACCTCCCAGATCGCCACAGAAGTTTGTTTTACAAGGGACTTTCCTGAAATGTGCGTGCAAGGACTTGGGCCTCCCTGGGGGAATCCCAGAGAAGAGTGTGGCTTACACACTCAGCTGTCTCCAAGCACACTTAAAACCCAGAACAGACACAAACAAAGGCCCCTGTCAACATGGCAACAGGCCCATTAGCCGGGCCAGCAGCGCCAGGGGCAGTGTTTTCCTTGTGAGGTGTGGTGAGGGTGATCTGGGGTGGGAGGACTGTGGGTGTGCTGGCTTTCAGGAGTAGGTGTGGCAGGAGGGGCAAACACACAGTCTTTTCAGTGTGCACAAGGGCCCCTCTGTGTGGGCCTGGTGGCGGTTATGGCAGCCTGGCTTGTGGGCAGGAAAGGCAGAGCTCACACCCCTCACCTCCACAGAGGGCCACGCTCTAGCAGGCATCCACCCTCGGCCTCCAGGCCCTGGTCAGGGGCCAGACCCAGACCCAGCTTTCCTGTGTGTGCCCCCCAGCTCTTCCCCACCCACAGAAAACAGCATCTTTTCCCAATCTACTCAAGTTCCCCAAGTTTAACTACTTTGCCAGATCTCAGACAGCTGCCAGGTGGTGGAGCTGGTGCCAGCTATACCAACTCCAGAGTCAGGTTGAATCCTTACCTTGCATAGAACCCGCCTTTGAACAGGCACAAAAAGACTGCACCCTCGGGCTGGGAAGGTGGCTCAGTGGTAGAGCGCTTGCCTTGCATGCCTGAGGCCCTGGGTTCGATTCCTCAGCACCACATAAGGAAAAAGCCAGACGTGGCACTGTGGCTCGAGTGGTAGAGCGCTAGCCTTGAGCTGAAGAGCTGAGGGACAGCACCCAGGCCCAGAGTTCAAGGCCCCACAACCAGACCAAAAAAAAACCAAAAAAAAAAAGACTGCGCCCAAGAGCTGACTGGTGCCATGAATCTCCACCTGGACAACTGCAGAACTCACGTGGGATTCCCAAAATATACCAGTCTCACCAGTCTGGCTGAATTGAAATCGGGTGGATATTTGGACAGCGGGACTTTTGAAAGCACCCCTAAATGATTCTAGCACACTGCCAGAATTGAGATGCTGCTGTGCATCAGTACCACAATCCCAATACCACTGTGTCACAAAACATCCCAATGGCCCAACACAGTGAGCACTTACTGTATCTTTCTCTTGAGATTTTTGTGCTTTAGGCAGGGCTGGGAAGGGTCCTTCGGGCATTGTCTGGGTTTGCACTAGTCTGGGGTTGGCTGGCTGCTGGCCGATGTAGAATAACATCCTCCTGTGAGTGACAGGTGATCTGGCTGAGTGTGCCTGCCTTGTCCTTCCTCCTGCTAGTCCTGGCATGTTCTCAATTGCAGAAGAGCATGAGAGGAAACATGCATATGGATTCCACGCCTCTGCCTCTTGCCCACTGGTGGAAGGAAGGACATGGCAGAGCTTAGGAGCGAGAACTCTCAGTATCCACACTCCGTGCTGTGTGCCACTGAGTGACAGGACTGCAAAAGGAAGTGAGGACTTGGAACAATCCCCCAGGTTACAAGATGGATTCCTCAGAGCAGGCTCCCTGAGGCCTCCCTAAGGCTCAATAAAACCAGCAGGATGGTTCACACTTCAGTGGGTATTGAGATTACAGTTGTAGCTGGAAATGCTCTGCCATCCAGGTTCTGGGACAGGTAGATGAGCTCCAACCTCATCCCAATCCCCTTGCTGAGGTTGTCTCCTGTGCCCCAGGTGTACCATACTATATACCATACCATACTGGTGAAAGCATCCTGGAAGCCATTGGTAGTGACTCCCTAGAACACAGAGTTGAAAATGATTCTGAGGCTCTATCCAGACTCATGGGAAAGAACATTAGAATCGATTGGCAATGTCTGCCCTGGCTGCAGGCAGAGTTGGGTGGACATGTTGACATTGTGTCTGCCGTGCTAGAGCTTCCCTGCTAACCCCTTCTGTCTCCTTTCTCCCATTCCTGGCCTCTGTCCTCACACACTTCATTCCAGAACAGAACGACCCTGGCCCGTACACAATAAACACCTCTTCCTGGTCACACACGCCCTCTGCCTACTCTCCAAAGTACTCCTAGCAAGTTCCTGATAGGGTGGTTTTATTTCAGTAATGAGAACAGATGGTTGGTCATTGTCAAGTGGGAAGGGTCCTTGATAGCAAATTCCCTGTGTCTGCATGTTGGAGTTCCATTTCTGATGTGTGCTCTTAGTCAGAGTGTTTGTCGGGCGTGGAGGGCTCCCCCAGTGGGGAGCACCCTGACCCCAGTGGAGTGCTCTCTAAAGGGGCTCTGACCCACGGTGGGCTTCTCTCAGCATCAGGCAGGACGGCGATTACTCAGAGCCCCCTGTCTATAAGGAGACTTGACTGCTAGTAGCCTGGCTCTGGCTCTATCACCTCATTAGCTAGAGAAAAAGAAAGAAGAAAAGGAGAGAAGAAGGAAGGAAGGAAGGAGGGAAGGAAGGGAG